GGGAGTCTACCAAAGGATGTATTAAGTGTTTGACTGCAGAGAGCTCTGTAACAAAGTGGTTACCAAGTCTGCAGTTTTCACATCACACAGTGACTTATACAATCAAGCATTAAAATTCAGGCCTCATTTAGTATTTTGTTCATTTGTTCTGCAATACACCTATTTATCAGAAATAATTGCAACTGGCATTTCAATCCACTTTTTTTCAACCAGCTGAAGGCTTCCTTCACAGACTTTTTGAAGGACTATGAACTCAAGTTTAAAGGATTTTAAATGGGGAAAAGAGTTTCCTGCACAAAACACTGCTTTGCTTCCTGAGTATGAGATTTGCAAAACTGGTTTAGTAATTTTTGTTCTATTGTTCCATCTTCTGGAGAAAAGGAAAAAAATATTCAACAACATTACTATTATAAATGTTAGTCCATTCCAGCTGAGTTATACTTTATTTCTGGCTTTCAGCAAAACAAAGAAAATCCATGTTAAGCTATCATTTTGTAATACCTCTTGAAGCAGAATTGCCAACATGATGTTTTTCTTTGAAAAAAAAAAATTCACATTTGTAAAAAGTACTACTACTAGTGGCATAAATGAACAACTTCATCACCAGTCCCAGCAGAGGGACTGAGGACTGGAATAAGCTTGGACACATCTCTTTCTATAGATACAGGAGTAGTACACATGTATATAGCATCAAGCAAACCATCTTAACATGAGCACAGTAAACATGCTTGAACAAAACTGTATCACTGAAATATCAATGCCCAGGCTACAGCACCACTCAAATCAGCCCCTAATTAAGCTTACTTGCTCCATTCCTATAGGATCTGGGTCACAGGTTGTTATAAAACACATATCAATAGCTTTTGCTTTTCAGTTGAAAAACCAGCTGTGGGACTTAAGGCCTCTTTAAGAGTTATGATGCATCACTGCAGAGCTACCCAAGCATCCACCTCCTATCACAGAGGAGATTGACTTGGAGTATGGCACAATCTCTTGACACTGGACAGACTGAAATAACTAAAAAATACTAACTAAAACCAATTCATGAATTCTTCTTTCAAAATGTAGGTTCTACAGCATGGTGCATGTTGCAAAGATCCCATAATACAATAACATAAGAAGGTTCAGCAAGTAAGTGCTGGAACCAAACCTGTTGCTTGCCAGGTGAATGATGAAATCATCACTTGCCATCAGGCTACCTCCAGTTTGCTGGCTTTCCTTCACTGGTGTTACAGGTCTCAAGACAGTCATGTATGGGGAAGGAGGGGGAGGGGAAGGAATCCTGCTGTCCCAAAGATTATATTCTTCTGTTTGATAAGAAGGAAGAATGTGTTTAAGAATTATACTGACAAAACCTAAAACATTTAATGTCTTACAGGGCAAAAAGTAAGAAAACAGAAACCTCACTAGTTCACTGCCCTTTTCTTTTAATATATTAATTACCAACCATAAACCATCGAGAAGCTTCACTGAAGTCTGAAGCAATAGTTAGAAACCCAGAGTAAGTCCAAATCGCAAGAAGAGGCAACTTTTTTTTGCCAGCGCAAAGCAGGTGGCAAATATAAAATTAACAGGGAAAAAAAGAAGCAGGGGAGGGAAGAGGGTTGTTAGTGAAAACAAGAAAGGAGAACAATCAGAAGCACTCTTGGTGCACCAGAAAGCCCTAACACTGAACCTTGCTGAAAAGCCATAAAGAGAATGCAGGGAAACTAGTCTGAACACCAGTCTCTGAATTGAGATACGAAAAAGCTTCTATGGGGAAGTAAGTACAATCCAGGCAGCTGAACAAAAGTAGCACTACCTTCCATCAATCCCACTCTTTCTTCCACTCCATGTTTCACCTTCTAAAGTTAAGCTCTGTCCTCTCACCAGTCTGTATTCTGCATTTTCTTCCCTCCTTCTAGGAACATGCTGCATAGTCTCTGCTCAGAGCATACACAGGCATAAATACTGCTAGGCTGTATATTGTATGCTGGGGTAGGATGACAGTCCTCTTTGTTCCAAATCCCAATTTTATCTGGGCATGATTCCCTATTTGTGAAAAAAATATGGTTTCAGTTACTTTCTGTCATGGCTCCCAGAGGCCTCTAAACATGGGCACTTATAAATAAAAACTTACTATTGTTTTGTATTTTGTCCTTGAGCAGGAAAACAAAAGGCAGAAGGAAACAAAACATGAAACTAAACACAAGAGTAATTTAAAAAAAAGTTTTCCATAAATATTTTGTCTCTAGAAAGGAAATTAAATACCTCTTCCCTAGTTCATGTCTCCAAGTTTCTTGCTTGCTGTGTTCTACTATTCACAAGTATCAAACAGCACTTTTAAGCTACCTGTTCTATTATAGTCAAATCACACAAACATCTAGAAACTTCCTGCCTTGCCTATAAAGGTACATTGGAAAAAGCAACCAATCTCCAAACTCTCATGTCTTTGTCAAGCACAAAGTAGCACAAAATCTAGGTCTGCCTCTAATGGACAGCGAGGATTTGTATGTTCCCTCCTGGAAACATTTACTTAGGACACTTGCTATTGCTCCTGTTTCAGCCAGTAGTACATGAATCATACAACCAGATGAAGACCACCTACAGTGGACATGATTTATATTTCTTTTCAGCCGAGAGATGTGGAGGTCCCATTCTTGAATTATTTCTAGTTTTTAAATCGATGAGTGTCTAATGCAAAATAAAAAGTTCAGTGACTAAATGGTGACCAAACCAAACCTGTTGCCTGTCAGCTGAATGATGAAACCATCACTTGCCATCAGGCTACTTCAGTTTGCTGGTTTTCCTTCACTGGAGTTATTGGTCTTAAGGTAGTCACCTATCAGGGGGAGGGGAAGAAGGAAGCCTGTTGTCCCAAAGATTATATATACTTTTTTGACAAGAAGGAAGAATGTGTTTAAGAATTACACTTAAAAAATGCCAAGGTCTAAAAAGGTAATTCCCTTTCTAACTACAGATTGTTACTGGAATCAATTAAAAATTGAGAAGAACAGTACATTTTAAAAACAATGTCTCCAGCAACACAGCAGACAAATAGGACACGGATAAGATATTGCAGTACAAACCTAATGACACTTTTTTGATCTGTTTGGCACACTAACAGGTATTTCCTCTTAGCACATGTAAAAATTACGCCAGTACTTATTAAACCTGAAGTGATCTGAAATGCTGCATAGAAACTGCACTAACCTCTACTTCATAATACTTCCAACTAAGAATTACTTTTTTTATCCTTTACTCTAAATTTGCTTCTCGTATTTTTCCCTATTTTTTGAACCACTCATCTTTTCCTTAACTTGTTGAAATTGATGAGTTTGAGATCACTTGTGCTAATTCTCCATTAGCCTCACAGTTTAACTGGCAAATATTCTGTTGCAGCACAAAAACAAATTAAAGCACATACCGAATGTCTTCATGAGGTGAACCATCCTGCTTAAACTGATATGTTTGCTTTCTTATTGCTGAGAACAGTAAAAAACCCCAACAAAACACTCCCCCTCCCCAAAAAAACCCAAAACAAAACCAAAAATCAACAAAACCCCTCCTTCCTTCCAATCTGCTGTACATTAAACCACAAAGAAAACACATTCCCGCTTTGCACTTCTGTCCTGGGTTTGGCTGGGATCAAGTTAATTTTCACAAGAAGCTGGGAGGGGACACAGCCAGGATAGCTGAACCCAAACAAAAGGATGTTCAATACCATATGTTGTCACATTCAGTATATAAACTGGGCAAATTGTTTGGGGGAGGAGAGATCAAGGCTCAGGAACAGGCTGGGCCTTGGGTTCCGGGTGCATCACTCATTTTGTGTATTATTTTATTAGTATTTGTTATTATTATTTATTTTCTCCTTGTGTTGTCCTATCAAACTGTCCTTGACTCAACCCATGAGTTTTACCTTTTTCTTCCAATTCTTCTCCCTATGCCACCAGGTGGGGGCAGGGAGGAGCGAGCGAGAGGCCACGTGGCGCTTAGTTGCCATCTGGGCTTAAACCACGACAACTTCCAACTCATCTTGCACAAATTACATCAGATGTATATATGCAAACACAAATGCCACTTTATGTTTGCTATAAAGTGTTCAACAAAATTATTTATCTGGCACTGATTTCAACTCCTGAGACAATAACTTTATTACCTCCCCTCTCCCTCCCAACAGTTCCCTGGAGTTAAACATTACATTGTGCCTCATGAAATCGGGCATCTACAGCTTGAGTTAGACTCATCTATTGATGCTGCCCATTTAAGCAAGCAATTCTATTAAACATAGTGGGCCTCATTCTGCAGCAGTCTTCAGCCAAATAATGAGCACCTCAGAAGGCAGGTATGCAAGTTAACCATTTAGCAAATACATAATTATGCATGTTTCAGTGTAACATAATTTTATACTTCAAAAACATTTGCAATTTTTTTTTCTCTTTGTTACATACTCCCTCACATGCTGCCAAAGTCAATTTGGACTTTTTACTTGGTTTTCAACAGTCTTTTGATCACTGCCTTAAATCAAGCATTATTGAATTACATTCCAACAAATGTTCAAATAAAATAAAAATCTGCTAATTGATCATGAGTTTCAAAACAATTTTGCAGCAAGATGTGTCCTGATTGCTGAACCCATGGAGAGTCATGACAAGTTCCCAGGACCACTGACATTGAAGCAGCAGCTTCTCACATAAACACATCACTACAGTTTAGCTTCAAGGAACTGATCCAAATGTATGCAGACAGGAGGCAAAAAGCAAGAGACAAGCAGTAAAAAGGAGAATTCACAGAAGGCTAATTTTAGAGTCCTCCGGAGAGACTTCACAGAGCACCAAAACCAGTCACCTTTTTCTCCACAAACTACAGAGAGCACTTAAATATACAAATGGCTCCCTCCGCTTGTTTTAGCCACAAAACCTGACACTTAAAAGCCACTGATGATACAACAGTTTCATGCAGCATGAGAAAACATATTACATTATTTAATAAAAAAGGCAAGTAAATTAATAACATACTTTTCATGGTCCCATCTTCCTCTTCATCATCATCACTATTTATTACCATGGTCCCCAAGTCTGATTCTAACATAGTACTATTGTGTTCAATCATTGTCTGAGCGCCTTCACTCATCGTGCTTGTGGCCCTCATGGTACCAGCACTCTCTGAACTGGTCTTCACCATGGTGTGAGAGTCCAGCTCATCTTCATCCTATGGAGAAACATTTGTCAGAATGCAGCAGATCATTTAAAAATAAAAAAAGTTAAGAAGCAATCATTTAGATGCTTATTCATTAGTTTTATACCTTCACATGACCTAGTTGTACTGCTAGACCTCCAGTTTTAAAACTCTAAATTACAAAATAAAAAATGTTCCATATAAAGGAAGAATAAAAACTTGATTCTTTCTCACAGATGTAAGGCAGTTGGATATAAAAGAAATGTGGTCTACACATCCACTTTGCATCAGCATCCAGTTTTGAAAATCTCTGTGATTTTCACAACCCACTATACCTTCTTGGGTTCCAAAATCAGTATCACAATTTACAGAAAGTGCATTGGTTGTTTTGCAATGGACTATTACCAACGGTTTGTGCTGATCACTCTTAAAGTATCACACCCAGCATCTTATGCTACACACAGCACCCAGATGACACTCCCGTTCAATTTGGCTATTAAACAATCCTCCAAAATAGTTTTGGAAGTCCACCTCACAAGCAGAAAATCAGCTTGGCTTACTTCAAGTATTTGGTTCTCTTTACAAGCCTCTGTCACAGAAATGAGCACATTAATTGTTGATACCATGTAGAAAAACGAGCACATACTTAACCACTAAGTGTGGGGAGGAGCCAATATTATTGAGAGATCCAGTAGCATTTTGAATCTGTGACAATAACAGGCCAGGAATGTAAAACAGAGAACTCTGGATAATCCAGGTAATGAATTATAAAATTCATACAGAATACTAATCTTTGAAAACATTAATGGGAAATTCCATTGCTTTCCAAAGTCAGATTTAGGTTACATGCACAACTTCATTGTATTTCAGGAATAATGTGATGGGATTATACACATTTCCTGTATGGGTAAAATCTATTACACAGTGAAGTGGAGGGGAATAAAATTAAACATTCTCCTTGTTGATTATCAACCCCCACTGTGAAGACACTCTATTTAAGTTTTTAAATTTAAATACAAATGCTACTTTCACCAATTTTATAAACATATATGCATGCATTTCCTCTGTCAAAACTTCAGTTCATTTATAAGTGAACTCTACCCCCAATTAGCAACATATTCTAGCTACACAGCTTGAAAGACTATAGTATAACACTTTTTTTTTTAATTTGCCCAGTACAAATAACATGCTTGTTGCTACATGTAACATTAAAACAAGATTTCATCCACTAACAAATTTCCTCTTTTCCCTAAATCTTTGTTTTGCTTTATATACTTTAAATTTTTAACTATGAACAGAAGAGGGGTGAGGGGGACTGACATGGCACAGGACCAGGAAAAAAAACCCAAGCCCCAAAACCCTACAAGATCTGTCACTTCCTCACTGAACTTGTTCCTTTCCTTCCACGTTATTCCCTAACACAGCAGACATTTGCCTCCAGAATAGACAGAGGTGCACAAACCAGTTACACTGCCCCGGTGTCTCTTTCTCTAATGGTTAGTCTAAACAGATACAGCAAATTGTAGTTAGGAGTAATATCAACACAGCAGCTCCTGAAAATTATTCTACTACATCTCAATAACAGCCACAAAACTAGATCTAATTTTGATTCAGGGAGTCTGGCTAACACCATAACATACTGAAACCAGGATACAGATCTAAACCTGTGATTAAAATTTCAGATATCAAAAGAATAATTAATATTTTTACAAATTATAATCCGGAAAATAAAGTTCTTAGTTTGCATTCTGTCTGGGCTTTTTGTAGTTGCATTCTAAAACATTGTATTTAGTATCCTAGCCTTAAAAAATTATTATATTCCCCAAGATACAGATAGTTTACAGCTACAGCACTAGAGGACTGTGCCAGTAAATAAATGAGAATATTTTGGTACTGCTCCTCCTGGTGGCAACTTTAATTTTCTTTACTTTCTCTCCCTGCTCCCCAATGTTCTTGCTAACCCCAGTGTTTTTATGAGTTATGTTTTTCCCTTTCTAATAAGGGTACTCAGAAAGTAAAGTCCAAAAGTGGTTTTTTTTTGCATTGCATTTTAAAAGTGCCAGAACAATTAAGCTACTATTTCCAAGTGCTTCTTCCAGTACAGCAATGCAATGCAAAACTGACTCACAGCGTGCTGCTATTTGTCCTATTAGGTGCTACAAGGGTGGCACCTCTAACATACAGGCAGGCAGATCTCGGAGTTTAAGGCACACTTATATTTGATTTACAGATTTGCCAGACTAATATTAAGATCCACTTGCAGTGCATATGGTCCTAAACTTACTAAAACTGAAATCAGAAATTAAACAAACATTCTCCTGAAGCTTAAAAATATTTTAGAAGTTAGTGAAAAAGTGATGGCTAACAATATGAACAAGTATGAAAAGAAGTCCTAAGTGACCATTTTCATATATTCTGCTTCATTAAAACAATTGGTATTTCATTTCTTCAGTCAAATCAAGTATTTGGATTTGTCCCAAAGAATAGCATTTCATTTTCCACTCTAAGAGTGTCAAAAGCCTCACTATTTTCTTACAGTTTTCTCTCAAAGAGAACTGTTATCTTTGAGTACCTTAGAAGACGAAGGATCACAAAAGCCCACCTCAGTACTCACAGAATAGTTGTCCCAAAGAGGGAAACACACAACAATTTTGATCAATAGTGTTTTCCCTAGATCAGGAAAGATGTACTCAGAGAGAGCAATATAAAACTTTTTTGGGGTCTATGTATGCCACAGAATGATTAATTTTGTGGGTTAAGCCAGATTGCTTCCAGAACTATCATTCCAGTACTTCCCACAAATACAAGATTTAGCTAATATGGCAGTAGACTGCACTGGATCTGAAAAAGTAACTTTATAAAAATGTCCAGTGGATCCAAGTTATGTAAGTGTACATTTACATGAGATGATGAAAGTGATTCCTTAGTACAAATTCTGATTCATGCTTTACTGTTCATAAATATTGATGCAGAACTTCTGATCTGTTGTAAAAAAGGTAAACTCACTGATTAAGTAAAAACAAACACAATTTCAATTTTAACTAGGAAAAATATATAAGGCATTAAAACTGAAGTGTCTTGTTCCCATACTGTTTATGAAGACACATTCAAGAATCAAACAATAAACAGCTAACTCCAGAACTAAACTGGCTGTTGTTCTCTTGCACACAAGTAATAAACACCGAACTTGTACTTGACAGGGTTTTCTGATACACCAGTAGAGAGCAACAGAAAGAGCGCACAAGTGAGAACACTGGTATCTCCTGAAATCATGCAGAAATCACAATAAACTACAGAAACTCTGGAACACCATTAGAATGTAAACCAAGCACAATTAAAACATCACCAACACCCTGCAGCCCCATGGGACTAATTCTTTGGATCTCCTTATTTACTAAAATAAGTTACAAGATGAACCAAAGCAACCCTTAAAGCTTGAAAATGCAATCATAGAGACTTGACTAGCAGGACAACAAATTCAAAGAGACAAATAAACTAGACAAGCAAATACAGCAGTTTGCCTTTCAAATCTCTAACTATGGTTTGTGCGTGTAAGAAGAACACTAGAGGGCACCAGAGACAGCTAACTGGGCTGCAATACATAAAAGGAAGATTTACATGCTGGCAAAATTTAGTATCCTGTAAAATAATTTAATTTACTATTAACACCTCATCATCACCTTTGAAAAACGTGGCTGCAGTCACAGCTATCTTTTTGTAAAAGCACTGTAGTAGCTACATAAACACATCATATAGTTTGGTCAAGAACAGGGATTTTTGTAAAAGTTCCTAACATCTACAAAGCCCAACTACAACCAGAGTATACACTTACTGCTGAGCACACATTTAAGTTTAGACCCATTAGCAAAAGAGGTAAAAACTTAACTTTCAGCACACACTCAAACCCCATCAAATTAAATGGACGTTTGTCATGAAACAATGTTTAAGCTCGTTTTCTACCTCCTTTTAATTGATACACTTTGTAACAATGACTTGCTGCTCACAACTACCTTCCTATTTTTAGTCTTCCTATAATCAGTTTCTGGCTCTAAATTGCTGTGCATTTTAACAACATGCTCTTAAAAAGCTCTTTATGCCCCATGGGTAGCTATATTTCACTCGACAAAGTAATCTTCACATATTTCTAACTTCAGGACCCTTAAAAGACTACAATCAAATGTAATTATCACATATGTCGAGTGCTCTGGCTTAAGGGAAAAATACTATGAAAACAGAAAGTTTTAACATTGTGATGTAAAGTTACATACATCTAGACAGATACATAGATATATCTATACATACAAATACAAGAAAGATTCATGAAAGTAAATATAAAAACTTCCAGAAAAATACAGCCTAGTGTAGATTTAAAATACAGAATAATTCAAATGATTCAGTAGGTCCTTTAAAATAACTACATAAATACTGTAAAAATATAAACGAATAATTATAGCAATTACTTCTTAAGGTCTCAAAAGACGCCCAACTTCTCATAATTCATATATGATTAACCAAATAAACTTTTGTATGAATAAGTAAATAAGCCTACATATAGGAATAATGAATTATTGACAGTTGGCTACGTTGTTGATAGTGATCAATTACTAAGTGTCTAAGAAAAACAAAAATGGAGTACTGCAGCAGTAATTCCTTGTTTGAATACTCTAAAATAATTAAGCATTCCTCACATAATAGAGGCATTAAAATGTAAAAGAAAACATACAGGAAGAGTTGCTTGTTAGCTCATTCCTTTAAAGATCCCCAGAAATAAATATTTTGACATGTTTCCTGTGAGCTGCCAGGCAACGAGTTACTCCACATTCCCATAATAGAGCTGCCCAACCTCAGCATCCAGTTCACATCACACTTCAAAAAGTGCACGTGAGAAGAGATTGGTCACGTTTAGTAATGCTTAAACTAACATTTAAACTTTGATAGTGGGATTAACCTTCTGTAGAATATACCACTTGCAATTTTTGCTTAATTAAAAAAATCTGTACAATTACCTCAGTACCTATCAAAACATGTCAGTT